GGTTGGGACCTCAACCGGGTCACGGAATATGACCCGTGGTCTCTGACAGTGTTCCCCAACCAACTTGGGACAAAAACTTGAAAACTACATGATGAGAATACCTCATCTAAAGAACCATCTCTATCTCAATACTGACAAACCTCACGTGAGACCATTGACTACAGAAGATGGACTGAACACACCAGCTTCTTTCTGAATTCATACACTGGCTTGAGCTTGCTCTCTTACGGGACCTTCGCTGAATTTCTCACACGTATATTATGGTGTGAAGGCATTGCCAACGAAGTATCATCATTATATATAGACTAGAACTCAGTAACACTCAAATGTTCAACACCATTCATGCCACATATCCAGAGCATCGAGCGTCGCGATGCCTGCTAACATTCGTCATGAGTATAAATAATCAGTGTGATATCCTCTAAACTTGATCATGTGAATATTTGAAAATGTCTAAAAAATGTGCACCATGGCCAAGAGGGCGGCAGCGGTAGCAGACATAGTGTAAGCGTCGCTGCTGCCGTCCCCTCCAGAGCCGGTGCCATCAGTGCCGTCAGTTCCGTCAGTGCCGTCAGTACTATCCGCCTCACCAGGGCCGTAGCAGGTATCCTTAGCAGGGAGGGTAGTCACGGAATCCGGGCAGGCCATCAGTTGTAGCATGAGATTGTATTCGTCACCCAGAATCTCACCCGGCTTGGAACCAAAGTCGACACCAGCACTACAGCTACAATAAGCGGCGATGTAGCTGAACATAGGCGAGATGAGCTTGCAGGCTTCGACCTCGGCGAAGCAGGTGGCCAGGGGGCATTCGGAACCCGCCTGGCAGTCCAGGCAAATGGAGTGAAGCTTGCATCTACGGTCATCGTTCTCGTACATGTTCAAAGCGTCCTCAGTGTAACTCTCAGAAACAGGCTCCAAAGCAAGAAGGTTTGTCACGTGCTTGCTGAAGGCAGGGCACGCAGAAGCACAACTCGTAACCATGGCCATGGGATCGTCAGTTCCTTGACCTGAGAATAAGCACCTTCCGACGAGGAAAGGAATGTGAGGAACTCACTCGGCGAGGCAGTAGTGGCAGCAGCAGTGGTTGTGCCAGCAGCAGTGGTGACGGAAGCACCAACGCCGGCAGTTAGAGTAGCGAAGGAGATCAAGCGCATGGAGAGCAATGCACAAGAAGAGCTTGTCAGGCTGCGAGAGGAAGGAATACGCCTCGTCCTAGTGAACATCACCCTTCTGGGACTAATCGTATCCTCTCAGTCCTACTGCGCTCTAGAGATACAAGGTGGAAGCTCAAGGAACCTCGAAAACAATTAACTAGCCCCAAAATCTCTGGGAGAATCCTCATCAAGCCGATGGAATTTATCAGAGGCAACTTGAGACGGGGACGCGCAACGGATACGAGACGGTGTGTACTCCAGAGAGACAGAGGCAGCAAGACTGTGGGCAAGCGAGATTCAAACCAGCGCTGGTGACTCGCCGAACCAATCGATTCGTACAGTACCATTAACCGTGAGAGCGCATACGAACCTAACGAAGTTTGTTCTGTAACGTAAACAGCGTGTAAGCTACCAGCGAGATCGTAGAGTGCCCAACCCTCGCTAGCACCATTCAAGGCCTATTTTGCCCTTGGAAAGATCATTTTTCCGGGGCAGATATGCCACTGAGAATAATACGGCTAAAAGTTGCCGCTGCATACATGTCCTAGTCTATTCTAACGACGCTAATTTCTGCGTTTCTACGCAAGCAGAGTTACTCTGGTCGCTCCGACAAAACTGGTCGGCTTTCTCATGCGCGTGTAATGGAATGTACTGTGGCATAGCCGCCCCACCAGTGAGATTGATTGCCCTGATGCCTACCTTGCAATGACATAACCATCACTGACGATGAGTTTGACCGCGCTGGGGCACGTCTTCGGGTGGCATAGCCGCCCCAGACAGAGAGAGTGATTGCCATGATGCATACCTTGCTGTGGCATAGCCGCCCCAGTCAGAGAGAGTGATTGCGATGACGCATGCCTTGCAGTGCATAGCCACCACTGATTAAGAAACTGATTAGGCTGGTGCAGATCATGAGGTGACATAGCCACCCCAACCAGTGAAATTGATCCCCCTCGTGCATACCTTGCAGTGGCATAGCCGCCCCAAAGAGCGAAATTGATCGTTCTCGTGTATTCCTTATAGTGACATAGCCGCCCCAACCAGCGAAATTAGTCGACCTTGTGCATATCTTGTAGCAGCATACCACTGATTCCGCTGGTGCATATTTCAGGGTGGCATACCCGCCCCAATCAGATAAGATGGTTTTGAATCAAGACCATCTTATCAAAACTCATCAAAACTTTTGATGGGGGAAGAACAGAGCTCGAAAACGTGTTAGAGTTTCCAATTCTACATCACCGGTCAACGAATCCTCCCAAGCAAGCGGCAAGCCTGTATTGAATCGATAACGCAGCGCACTAGTAAGTCAGTATATGTAGGTGAGAGAATATAGTGAATTGGGATGGTCGAGGATTTGTATTAGGAGATGACCTGATTGGACTTAAGATTACGTCTCACGCTCACTCCGACTCGATCACGACACCTTCGAATCGATTCGGTAGGAACCAATGAGATATAGCCTAATAGTAGAAATGGATCAAGGGCAGAAACAAGACTGAATACGCACAGTGTTACGCACAGTGTGACAGTAGGAACACAATCGGTTACAAGCAGAACTAAAGATACTGATATCACGGACCGCACAACGAGGATGATATGGTTGTCACCAGAGTAGCAGTAGCGCGTCGTTATCCATCGAGGCGGAAGAAACCAACCTGATGGAATCGAGACTATCCACGAAATCAGTAGCAGTGGATTCATGTTGAGCAACCCAGACCGCAATACACCAGCATCGTCCAGTAGTAACAGGACCGAACTTCAGTAGATAATACAAGAGTAAAACAGCAGCAGACGACGACGAGGACTCGAGATATCGATTGGCGAAGTTTACGATTTCCCAATACTATTGTACAGAACGCCAACCCTTAACTCGTGATAAGATGGCTCGGGGTGATACTAGCCCAGCAGTCTCTAGTAATCCCGGATAATGGCAGGATGATACAGACGAACGACTGTGATCAGACCGATAATACCGAGATCTCGATTAGAAGAACAATGCAATCGATGGCGATTCATAGCGGCAGAGAGGGTGCCGACACCCGCATAGTGCCTGCTATTCACACCGGTGACCCAGGAAAAAAGCAACCTTATTCCAGGAATTGTGAACGACCGCACCGGAAGAAACACATAAGCGTGAGAACTGAGGAACTGAGGAGTCACAGAAGCACCATGAATGAAGGTTTAAAGAGAGAGTCTATAATCATCATAAGCAATGTCACAAAATTCCTCCATAGACTAGGTGAGCCGAGGAGGTCAGCTTAACGGCCTCTATACAACATCACAACTGCAGCCGCTGCAGTAGTGAACATATCATAACCAAACGGTGATGACAACGGTTCACGAGGTTTAAAGTAGCGGTTTAGTCGGAGTCCCCAAGCTTTGTCGGGGTGCTACCATCATCATTCGACGGCGAGGGAGCATCCACTATCTCTACAGACCTTAGGCCAACCTTACGAGTGATGAGATAAGTCGTTGGTAAGGCAATGATGAACAACACCCAGCAAATCCAGAACTGGGCCGAGTAAGGTACTCCAAGTTGAGGTAAGTCAATCGTCCATGAGATAACTGCACCCACACTCTGAACACCCTTATAAAGCCCGGTGTAACGAGCGGCAAGCCCAGTGTCATCACCAGCAATAGCGCCCATAATCCAATAGGAGAACGTCTGAACGACTGAATCACTGAAACCGTAGAGGATGTAGACGATAAGAGGATACCAGTAGTAGTAATCAGTCAAATCGATGAGATCCTCAGGCTTAACAACGTTGTGATATCTATCATAGCCACCATGATAGCCATACTGGAGATAGCAGCCCAAGGCATAAGTGATATTAAATGAGATACACATAAACCAGAAACCATTCTTAGCCCGTCGAGCCAAGGTATGTTTAGGATCATCCTGGATAAGACCACTGATCCAGGCACCAGCCATTTGAGCCAGCCAATACAGAGCTGAGTTGAGACCTCTCGTACGAATGGTGAATAATACACCGTTAACGCAATTGAAGACATAGGTATAGAAGAAGTTAGACCCAAAAAAGAGCAATAAAAGGAGCATCATGTTCTTGTCAAATATGACTGACATTGCATCTAATAACTCCTCTTTAGCACCCTTAGCCTGGGCCATAACTGCTTTACTACCATCTTCCAACACTACCTTCGCAGGATTCATGAGTAAGAAGAGAGCCATGATACCACCAACGGCCATAATAGCGATAAAGACGAAGTATGATGCAGCATTAGCGCCATTAGAGCCCTCACTGAAGTTCAGAGCGAACTGTAGGATACCACCGATGAAGCCACCAAGGTTGAATATAACCCAGAAGGTCGTGATGTAATGACCCTTCTTATTCTCAGGGGCATACGCCATCATTAACGCACCCTGGGCAGTCCAGAGCCAGCCAGCTCCCAAACCGCAGACGGCGCCTGCTAGAATGAAAAGCCAACCAGTACCAGCAACATGTCCGGATACATAAGCAGCCGCTGCATAGAATGCGTAGCTCAACCCACCGACACACATGAGGATTTTCGGGCCCATGATGTTGAAGAAGAAACCTCCCAAGTAGCCAAATATGGCAAAACATACGTACAGTGCAATATTGGCCGGATCGTTAGCAGAGGGGTTAGCATTGCCAGCGCCTCCTAGACCCTGGATGGCGTTGAAGAAACCGGGGCAACAGAAGGCGATAATCCCTGTGATGACGACCTGTGGGTAACCCCTATAGAGCCATGACACTCTAGACTGCTTCTCCTTTCGTTGATTCAGCATTCTACCTCGTAGCCGGATGTATCAAATAAGAAACTATACTGAAAGATCGATCACACGAACTCACAGAGGCAAAACGCTCTCAACTAGTAGCAGGGTCGCAAGTCACAATACAGGGACAGCCATTCACAGACGTTGCACAATTATGGCTTTGTCCTCTAAGAAAGCCAGCTATCTCGCCTCGTGAAATACATCAAATACTGCAAGAGTCATGGCACCTTTTCCTCAACAGCAAGAGCCTTACGGGCGAACGCTATGCTCATGTACATGCGTGCAAATCACAGTCGGGATAGAAATATTGAACTATGTAGATGGGTGTCGAAATAGCTGTGCATCGACTGTTCCTCGCCCTGATACGCTAAGGATTGGAAAAGTCGTCGAAGTGTATACGAATTGCTTTGGTCTACGAGCCATAGGGGTATGTATTTATGCATGGGCCTGCCCACGTGTGGGATGCCTAGGGACAAAACAACAGCCACTGTGATGTTGGAAACCCATGATGATACTCAAGAGCGCATGATAACGCAATCAACTTCATTTTCAACCTCCCGTTTCTGGCCCTGATTTCGACGGTGTTTTGCACATCTTCACCTCACTGGGAACTCGCGATAGACTTGGCAAGGCGCCCCAGTGGGAGTGCAGATCCTTGTTATCTCTTACACCGAGTAACAACAGGAAACTGTGATGGTGCGATTACAAAGCGGCTTGTCCCTTCTTCCGAATACTGAAATATCTGTGACTGTGATGATATCTGGTCCTTCGCAATCCAGTGTATTATAGGGAGCTTTTGAGTAGCTTGTGTATGATGATGATGATAGCCGTCACAAGGCAGAGCAGTAGATGGATACGGACCAGCACTAAAACAACAGTGCAGGTCTTCAAGAGCGGCGCCAAACCGACCCATATGCGGCCTCAAGGGCCGGTCGGACAGAACTATGAGAAAACCAACGGCTTCTATTGGCCTCCTGAGGACACCAGTGACGTGGTCCAGGTAGGTGTGTGTACCATTCGAGCCACAGATAGTAGTGACAGTTGGTAGATGCCTGGTGGTCGAAAACAGTTCTTCGTGTTTGCCGGCAAGTCGGATGAAGACGGCTCCCTCGAGCCCACCTTAGCCATTGTTAGTCGAGGTGGTCGGAGGCTGGTATTTTTCAATGAGGAGGAACTAGCAGAGCTGGAGCGCCTCGTAAGTGGACTCATCTTGCCTTGCGACCGTCTGGTTCAGGGTCCGCGGTACTTGTCTTACCTAAAGCTTTGGCAACAGAAGGCTAGACGGAACCAGGCTGTAACGGAGGCTAAGCTAGGTCAGGTTGGTATGGCTGATGATCATGGCAAGGATATGGACTAAGTCCTAACGTGTTTCTGAAGCCGCCTTCTGTGAGTGTTGTTCAATCGCGTAGTGGAGTGTTTGCATCCCGGGACATGAACGATGCGATTCACAACTCGTTTATCTTTACAACTTGTCTGGCTGGAAAATCCACGCCTCCAATAGAATGTAACTGTATTCCATTTATCTTATCCAAGACCGTCTTTTATCCCTGGCTACTTATACCAGTATTGAACGCGAGTCTAGTTCACTCGTTATAGGGGCGCTTAGGTAGATGAAATCTTCCCTTCGTAAATTCACTGTGAAATACAAAATACCATTTTCATGAAAATGCAATAACAACTGTAGGCATTTATCATGCATTTATCTTAATTGCGTGCTCGCTGCCGCATTACGGTTCTGCTTAATCATGTCGATTAGCCACATTATGCCTTCCTCCACCCCTTCTCCGGTCGTAGCCGAACAACGCCTGTTAACTAATCACAAGCCCTCAAGAACAACTGCTTCTTACACTATATTGGTGGGCCGTCGTGAAGAGGCCAGTGATGGCAATCCGATTCCGGCTGATATTTCTTCCAACGAGGCCGCATCCGGGAGGTCCATTTTGTTGGCGAAAAACACTATAGGAACATAGGGTTTCTCTCCCAGACCTGAAAGCCGTGACTACTGGTCACCGCCAAATATACACCACTGACTCACCCCTGGACCGTAGCATAGTGTACAACTCGTTTTGGACTACAGCTAGCCGCAGTAGGTCTGTCGAGTCAACCACAAAGATAATGCCCTGTGTGCTGCGCTGAACGATTAGGGGCGTACAGCCCGTTCTTACTTCGCAATCAG